TTTGGGTCGATGGAGGCAAGAATCACCTGGTTTCAGGGTTTGGGCGCCTGTCAGACACAGCTCCCAACAATCAGCTTATTGGAGGGAGACAGTGTCCCTCTGGCCAGGAAAGAGAGAAGAAGAGAGCCAGTTCTCCCTCAAGCAGATTCTGAAGGCAATAAAGGCAGGCAGCCTGGCCTCTGCACTGACCTCAGGGAGCCCACCCTGGCTCGTGTGGGCAGCAGGGAGGGAGGCCTTTGCTGGAGCCCGGCCCACATCAGGTGGCTCCGTCCTCCTCTCCCAGGTCTGGATACACAACAGAGTCAATCCCTGCCCGCCACTCCTATGCCAGGGCACAGCTCCCAATACCCTCAACAGAATAGCCTGAACTCAGCCCAAGGAGAGAGGCAGGTGACAGGAGGTGTTGGGGGCAGGCCAGGCAGGGCTGGAGCCCACAACAGAGACCTATAGCCAAGGGCTCCTGCATCCAGGGGAGGCCTCACAGGCAAGGGCAGTCAGCTGGGCAGGTAGTGCCGTAGGAGGGGGACTGGCAGCTGGGCCAGGTGGGTGATGCTGTGCACATTGCAAACCCGGTGTGGGAGCACATTCTTCCTACTCCCCAGGTCCTTCAAATCTACCCTGTCATCCCATGTCACGCGAGAAGGAAGATTCAGAGAGGTCAGGTCACTGATCAAGGCCACACAGCCCAGGTCTGTGAGGGCAAAATGCCGCTGCACTTCACCAGCTGAAATGAAGAGACTTTGCTTTTGAATGAGGCAAGTTCTACTCTGAGACCCTGCCTGGGAGCGCAAACCACACATAATGCCGTGTGGCCAATGTCTCCGTAAACACGTACTCACAGCTGAACAGGACCAGGGACCAAAGGGCACCAGGCAGAGCCACCGGCACCAAGGCTAGGAGGCCTCACAGAGCCCCAGACTCGGTCGGTTCCTCCTGAAGACTGGACAGGAAGCGAGGTGGGGATCAGGCTGCAGCAATTCCATTGCCCGAGGGCTGAAAGTCTCTGGGTGTAGGATGGAAGGGTCCCAAGTTCCACAGGAGGCAGAGCACAGGGAAGACAAAACCAGAAACCAGAGATTCTGGAGAGGTGAAGGTGAGTGACAGTGAGGTCTGGGAGCAGGTGTAGCAGGGGCAGCATGGAGAATGATGATCCCAGGGAAGGGTCAGGGTGTGCCCCCATTCCCAGAGGGCATCACACCTTCATGGAGAGAGTCCTCGGAGGTGGAGGACTGCCCTGGACCTGGATTTGTTAAATGACCCGCTCTCCCACAGAGGAGCTTTCTGGGTACACCGCTTCACCTTCCTGATACATGGGGTTCCAGCCCTGCAGGGCGGGTTCCTTTCTCATCCTAAGGACGGGGCCTTCCTGATGTTGCAACCACCCAATGGGTTGGCCTTGCCTGCTGCCCAGACAGAGCCAATTTGTCAAGGCAGGGGAATTGCAATAGAGAAAGAGTAATTCACGCAGAGCGGCCGTGCAGGATACCTGACTAGAGTTTCATTATTACCAAATCAGTCTCCCCGAGGATTCAGGGATCAGCGTTTTTAAGGACTACTTGGTAGGTGGGGAGAAAGCCAATGAGCCAGGAATGCTGATTGGTCAGGTTTGGGGGGAAGCCAATGAGCCAGGAGTGCTGATTGGTCAGGGTTAGGGGGAAGCCAATGAGCTGGGGATTCTGATTGGTCAGAGATGAAATCATAGGGAGTCCCCGCTGTCTTCTTGCACTGAGTCAGATCCTGGGTGGGGCCACAAGATCAGATGAGCCAGTTTATCAATCTGGGTGGTGCCAGCAGATCCCTCAACTGCAGGTCTGCAAAATACCTCAAGCACTGACTTTAGGAGCAGTTTAGGGAGGGTCAGAATCTTGTAGCCTCCAGCTGCATGACGCCTAAACCATAATTTCTAATCTTGTGGCTAATTTGTTAGTCCTACAAAAGCAGTCTAGTCCCCAGGCAAGAAGGAGGTTTTGAGAAAGGGCTATTACCATCTTTGTTTTAAACTATAAACTAAGTTCTTCACAAAGTTAGTTCAGCCTATGCCTAGGAATGAACAAGGACAGCTTGGAGGTTAGAAGCAAGATGGAGTTGGTTAAGTCAGATCTCTTTCATTGTCTCAGTCATAATTTACAGTGGCAGTTTCAATGTCAGTTACTCCAGACAAAGCAAGGCTTCACAGCTTTGGGGAAAACAAGCATTCTTATCCAGACCCCCAAGAGAGGGTTCTTGGACCTCCCACAAGAAAGAATTTGGGGCAAGTTCATAAAGTAAAAGCAAGTTTATTAGAGAAGTAAAGAAACAAAAGAACGGCTACTCCATAGGCAGAGAAGCTCTGAGGACTGGTAACTGGCTATTTTTATAGTTATATCTTGATTACATACTAAACAAGGGGTGGATCTTTCATGAGTTTTCCAAGAAAGGGGCAGGGAACTGAGGGTCCCTCCCTTTTTCAGACTATACATAGTAAGTTCCGGAAGTTGCCATGGAGGCAGCGGTCCCCAGCAGAGGGACAGGGACAGCCCAGCAGTGGTCCCCAGCAGAGGGACAGGGACAGCCCAGCCCTGGGGACACTCTTGACCTTGGCTCAGGCGCCAACCTGGCTCAGCCCCCAACCTGGTTCAGCCCCCTGCTCTGGAGGGAGACAGACAGCGCTCCGAGGCAGCGCTGGTGACATGCAGGAGCCAGGTCTCTTGGGAGATGGGAGAAGCAGGCACCTGCAGCTCCAGGCACCCACCCAGTGCCAGCTGATCCTACAGAGCCCTTCTGATGCCTGCCTCAGTTACACCTCCCAGAGGCCCCGCAGGTGCACGCATACACACATATGCACATGTGATGCACGTGTCATGCAAATACGTTTATGTGACAATAGGTTAATTACACACGCCTCCATGACCTCCCTGTGCTGTGTTAACCAGACAAGCCCCCTGACATACTGACTGCATTTTAACAAGTACTTTTTCTTATCCCAACAAATCCCAACAAAGTTTGAGAGTATTTATAAAGTATAGCAAAGCTACATTAAATATTTAGAAAAAGTTACTCTTTAGCTCCTCTCTTAAGAAAATTTTAAAAACAAGATTTTAAAAAATCTCTGGCTTGTCAGGCTAAAAATATTTCTTTATTTAATAGCTTTATTTTTGCCTTCCAGAATAACGCCATCATAGATTCCAGAGAGGACCCCGTTTCTAGAACTCGAGGGTCAAGATTTGAGAGGAATTCCCAGTTCCCCCCTTTACAGTTGAGTGAGGTGCATGTTTTCCTCATTTCAGTCTCCTATTGGAGATTGAAATGCCCAGAATGGGGGGTGGACGGCGCTGAGGGGAGTCCCCTCCCCTCTGAGGGGAGGTCTCATCCTGACTGGCCCGGCGTGTGTGACTGAGCTCTTTGCTGATCTAGAAGACTGCCTAGCAGTGAATGGCTGAAGTGTGAGGCTGCAATGCATGTAAAGTCAGTACCTGTCAATGATGTGTCATCCTGTCTAAAAGCTAGGGACCCAGGTCTATGAGAAAAGAGATGTCTGGGTGTAATTTCCTGGGGCAGCACCGCATCATTTAGTTACAAACCCTCAGATTTGACAACTTGCTAGTTTCTGTCCTGAGGACGGGTCAACCCCCTGGGTGGGTGGTGTGGCCCCCTCCTGCGGGCCCAGGAAGGAAGGGCCATGCCCAGGGCTGTCCCTGCTTCCCCCTGTCCTGGCTCATCCCAGGCCTTGAACCCAGAGTGAGGAGGGAAGGTGGGGATGGCTCACGGAGGTGAGGCCGGAGCTGCGTCCTGATCTTCATGGTGCACACCCTCCATGAACTCAGAGGAAATGGTGCACATCCCCCAAGAAGTCCCAGACACTCAGCCCTCCCCATGACTTGCGTGGGGCTTAGATCAACTAAGACCCAGGAGGGACCCTTGTAGGGGAAGGAGGGCGCCCACATTAAAAAGCTCAGGGAGGGATCATGGCCTCCTTGGACGCGTCTGGATCCTCTCTGAGTAGAGGGTATAGGACAAGGGCAGGGCTGTTATGAGAGGGATCAGGGACCCAAACAGCCGGACAAGGGTCAGCACTGGCCGATGCCGGGATGCGGAGCCTCCAAAAGCCTCATCGGGCTAAGCTGGCCGGGAACTGGGGACAGAGGACGGGTCCTCAGGAAGACCAGGAGGTGGCGAGAGGAGAAGGCCAGGTGCCGTCCTCAGCAGACACAAGCTGCTGCGCTAATACACTTTGCTGTCTTGCAGGCGGCTTGCCCGAGAGAAGCGGGTGGAAGGGCCCTTGGCTTTCTGATTCTAACTGCACTGGGCTCAGCTGCAGGGCAGCTTTGGGCTGGACACTCATGGCCAAAAGGAGGATTCTTCGCCTCTCAGGAGTGCTCGGGTCCCTCGCACCTGCCTTATGTAACCGCTCTCTCCATTTTGATGAGGGAGTCACAGGCACACAGCCACTCCTGCTTTGGTTTGTGAGGAAGTAGCGAGCAGGTCCCACGAATACGCAACAGAGCGGGCGACAGGAAGCCTGGGTGACGGGGAGTGAGTGGGCAGAGCTGCAGCTGGGAGGCTGGGGGCCTTGGACAGGCAACAGCATCTCTCAGTGCAGAAGAAACCTCCTCTCCAATGCGCCCTCTCACTTCCCCACCATCCAGCTCACAGAGAAGCCCAGATGGTCGAGCTCCAGGAAGGCATTTAGCCTGCCCAGGGACCCGAGCAGGGCTGCACTCTGAGCTCATCACAGCGTCAAAGTCTTGTATTTGTTCTTAAGGAAGGTTCCTGCTGGCATGGTCAGAAACACATTCTTACTCCTTGCCAAGGAAAGACAGAAGTTTGAGGTGAGTTAATGTCACAAATCTGGAAGGGCTGATTGTGGAAACAGAGCAGGATTTGAACCTCTTCCGCACAGCAAGACAAACGCAATTTAGAATCACGACATGTGTTTCTTTTACAAACCCTAGGGCCAAGCTCCCAACCCTACCCCCCACCAACTATGTGTGGAGGTGTCCTGACCCTGAGGCCGGCCTGGGCTAGGCAGGTCGCACCTTCATCTCTGACACCTTGTAGCTGTAATTGTATCCTTTCCCTGACTTCCAGTTGATGCCATTTGCAAAGCTGTCATGAGCCCCCCTGAGGTAGCGACCATTCAGGTTTGATACATGGCAGGTTCTGTACCACCAAGCTCCCTGATATATCACAGCACAATTTCCGGTGTTAAGGTCGTTGTCCTGGTCTTTGGTGGAGAAGGAGTGGTTGTTGTGGGATGTCAGGGAATCACCTGTGCAGGAGGAAATGTGAGCATCATTACAGGCAGTAACATCGTTATAGGCAGTATAAGTCTTTATACCTGAGGCCAGGCCTGGTGTGTCCTCCATGTATGGTTAATCAGGTTGTGCACTGCACAATCCAAGAAGTGCAATCCGTGACTCCAGTGAATACTACCCTGCTGTTGGCAGTGGTCTTGGCAATTTGTCTTTAGGTCTAGCCCTGCCACCGAATGTGCACTATTTTATTTCACAGAAGAAGAGGAGGCAGGGGTCAGGATCATCATTCTCTACTCCAGATTCCACCATGGCAGACCCCTTCCAGCCACGCCCCACAGAGATAGCAGCTGCTGTCCGTGTGCATAGGTCCCTGCTCTACGGAGATTTCCTTCCTACCGGATGTCCTTGCTGGGATTTCTGCAGTCATGCGTTGATGTGTCCCGTGACCCCCCACGCTACACAGAGCGCAGACGTTAGTGTCTGCATGTAGAGATGGACAAACCGGCTCAGAGAGGTGAGGCCTCTTCCACAAGGCCGCCAGGACACTGAGCACGCTCTCTCCACTTCCCAAACCCCCCTCAGAAGCCCAGGCCGCACAACCCCAAGCAGACACTCACCCGCACTGCCCTCCACAAAGGCCCCCAGGACCAGATTGTACTTCTCCTTCTCGTCGGCCACCTTGAATGATCTGTACTTAGCAAACTGGTGGTTGTCCTCAAAGTCCACCAGGTCTACACGGAGCTCGCTGGTTCCTGTTGGAGGAAGGTTTCAGGGTCCCAGCAGAAGGACCCTCTACCTTTAGACATGGGAGCTGGGGATCTGGGGCAGAGCCTGGAAGGAGGTCTGGACTCCATGGAGGCAGAGGGCGGAGAGCACCGCAGCTTCCCCGGGGCCTGTGTAGCTCTGACCCGGCAGGGTGAGCTGAGCAACAGGGCGAGACTCCTGACTCCCAAATCCTAGCGGATTAGAGGCAGAGTTGGGGTTGGGCCCAAACTCCACTATGGGGCCGCTGTGTCGTTCCTTCCCACTCTCAGGGTCTGAGATGCCAGTGGGGCCAAGACCTGAAGAGGCCTTCAGCCCAGAGCTCTACCCTCTCCTGTCCCTGTCTCTTATACACATCTAGATGTGTATAAGAGACAGTCCTCCGTCCGTGTCCATGTCACAGAGCACAGTCAGGGGCCGGCAGTCAGGCAGGTAGATGGTGTGCCAGCCGCTCAGGAAGTGCCCTCGGTCTAGCAGGTCCTTGCAGGTGCGTGGGCCTGGGAAGGGAACCCAGGGAGTGGCTGCAGGACGGGGGCCTTGGGCAGGGCAGGGGCAATGGGAGGGAAGCCCAGGAGGGAGGAGCAGGGCCATAGGCATCTGTATGAACAGAGCAGAACTCTGAGGCCTAGACAGAGACACGGTCTCCAGGGCCACACAGCTGTGATGGCCACACCCAGTCGGCCTGACCCTCCCACCTCCCAGTGTCACCCCCACCTTCGGCTCCTGGGCACCCGGCCTTCTGGGGTAGATTAGAAGATAGGAGAAAATTGCCATGGAATGTATGTAAGTTGTCTGGACAATATTTGTCACTTCCTTGAATAATTAGAGGACAAGGAAACGGGCAAGCAACCATTTTCTTTTGTTCCTATTTGTCACTTCATTCCAGCAGTGGTGTCATATGACCCTGAACTTCCAGACAAGAACAGCCACAAGCTGTGGGGGAAAGTGGGGATGGCCAGTCACCTGTCAGGCATGGCTGGGGCTCCCCAGGTGCTCCTGTTCGTGGATGAGAGAGGACACACGTGTCACAGTTTGGAAATCAGAGCCCTTCAGCCCCCACTGGTCCACGGACACTGCGTGGAAAGTGGAGACCATTTTCTGGGCCTCCCCAGGAGGAGATGGTATGGGTCCAGTCAAGGAGTCCCTGACCCTGCTTCTGTTGACCAAATTTTTCTTTCCCTCGAGGGCTGCCTACACTGGCCCCTCCACCACATGCACCCCTTTCGGAGGTCCCTGGGGAAGGAGACGCCACCATTCCAGAGACTGCTGAGGTCTCCACATGCCAAATAGAGGGAGCCTGGATCTTCACGGTTCTCCTGAGGTCCCAAGGCCTGCAAACAGCCCATCTTGGTGGACACGGTGATATGATGGGGGTAGGGTTGTTTGGGGTCTGGGCACCAACCCTGCATATTTTACGTTTAGACACAACCCATGACTGAACCTGGGGTTTGGTGAGTGTAGGGTGGTCTTATTCTAAGTAGGTCTGTGAGTAAAGGTGAGTGAGTAAAGGGAACTTCAATTTCCTACTGTATGTTTCTCTGATTCTTCAAAATATTCCTCAAGAAAATATATCAGAAAATTCTTTGTTTTAAAGCAGAGAATTTCTAGTAATTCTGTATTTGGAGCTTGTTGGCATGGTTCTCCAAGTCATCTGGGGTTGATCTTGGTTTTCGAGCAGAGTCAGGAGGAGGGGACAAGACAGGGGCCTCGTGCTCAGGGGACAGAGGTCAGGACTGGGTGGGTCTCAGAGGAGTGAGCAGACACTCCCATCCCAAGACCATTTCCACTTTAGAGGAACAGGATTTGGCCTCAGACCCACCCTCAGGGCAGATGCTCCTGCACTGAAAACCTTCCCCTACCTGAGAACCTCTTCCCCCATACAGACAGCCCCCTACTAAGAACCCCTCCCCACACTACAAGTCCCTCCCCCAATAATCAGAACCTCTCCCCCATCCCAGAATCTCTCCCCCATACTGACAGCTCCTCCCTCCATGCTGATAACACCTCCCCACAACCTGCCTACTGGGAACCCCTCCCCCAACACACACCCCAAGAACCTCTCCCTACACCCCCAAGAACCCCTCTTCCGACACTGAGAACCCAGCTCCCACACTGAGGACCCCACTCCCCCAAACTGAGACCCCCCACATACATTGAGAACCAGCTCCCACACTGAGGACCCCACTCCCCCAAACTGAGAGCCCCCCCCACACACATTGAGAACCAGCTCCCACACTGAGACCCCACTCCCCCAAACTGAGACCCCCCCCCACACACATTGAGAACCAGCTCCCACACTGAGACCCCTGCCCTGGACTAAGCCCCAGGAGCCCTGCCTGGGCAGGCGTTGGCTCCCGCCGGAGGACAGCGTGGCAGCCCCAGAAGACCCGCCCACATTCCTCTGCAGCTGGGTCTGGAAGGGCCTCAAAGCCCCTCCTCACTCTTGTCTCCTCCTTACCCTTGGACCCAGGTGGTCCTGCCTTCCCAGGAGGTCCAGGGGGGCCGCGTTCTCCTGCAATTTCCAAAGACACTGCCTTGAGCAAAACCCTCCAGCCCAGGATCAGAGGGCCCACCCTGGAGCTGGCGGCTGTCATTTCCAATCATGACCATGACCCTGCTCGTGCTACGATGTGACTGTGGCCCCGCCCGGGCTTGCCCATCCTGCACCAGAAGCTTCTAGACCCAGGACCCAGGCCTCACGGGGCTCTCCTGTTCACTCAGGGGCCAGGAGCTGGAAATCCAGAAACCATGGGTGGAATCCTGGCTCTTTTCTTTCCAAGTGTGAGAACAGAGGGAAATCCCTGGACTCTTTGAGCCCCAGTTTCCTCATCTGAGACAGGCGGAGAAGAGCGTCGTGGCCTCCGGGTTGAGGTGGGAAGGCAGAAGGACATAGAACTTAGAAGTCGTGCCGGTGGCCGAGCAAAGCTGGAATTGGATCAAGGACTAGGATACAGAGCTACAAAAGCGTGTCCAAATGTGAGCTCATGAAATAGTTAAGAAAGATGCTCCCTCCATTTCAGAACCTTGTTGGGCCCTAGAAGTCAGCTCTGCTCCTGGCTGTAGCAGGGACCCGACCCAGGCTCTCGATCCAGGAACCACGGGGTTAGGGGGTGCCCAACTCAGCATCTAATTTCAAAAAGAGCAAGAGCCAGTGCCCCCCGCCACGCCTGGCCTCCTGATCCGGCCCGCACCTACCTCTCTTTCCATTGGTGCCTGCCTCTCCCTTGGGCCCAGGGGCCCCGGGCAGCCCCGGGCAGCCTCGGAGAATGGTGAGCTTGTCAGAGCCCTCCAGGCCCACCACCTTCACCTCTGCAGAGAAACACAGGCGGCCACTTAGTGTCACCTGGGCCTGAAGACTCCACTGAGCCACAGACACACCACTCAACTGAAAGGCACCTGGCACCTTGGTGACATCAGGACTGGGCAGATGGCTATAGCCACAGCCACCTCCCTCAGCTGGAGGGTCACCTGGACAGGAGGTTTTCCTGCCCTGGTGGCCACTTGGTCTGTCCTCACCTCTCGGGCACTGGTCAGGCAGGAAGGTGATTTGGGGCAGAACCCTGGCCTTGGAGGCTACCCTGCCCGAAGGCACACCTTACTTCCTCCGTACTGTGTGTCCTGAAACAAGTCCCTTAACCCCTCTAAGCCTCTGTTTCCTTACGTACCTAGGGGTGCAGGTTCATTTCAGCGCCTACCATTTAGGATAGCATCCTAATCTCGTCTGTTCTGTAATCAATATCGGGTGAGAAGGACAGGGAGCGACGGCTACCATCGCGACTCCCACGCCTGAGTTTGGAACAGATCTGAGAATGGATGGGCTCCTGTGGGTCCACCTCCTTCCTCCACAGAGGGAGGCGTCCTTCAAGGACACAGAACAAGTTGGTGCAAAACTAGAACTGGAATGCAGCTTTGTTGTTTTCAATTAGATAACTCAAATTCAAGTTAGTGTGTTACGAAAATAACACGGGCTATTATTTGATCGTTCAGAAACTCTAGAAGTGTTTAAGGAAGAAAATAAGGCCACCCTAACCCCACCACTCCACAACGAGCCACCAGGAGTTTCCAAGCGAATCTCTGCTGTTGCTGGCCTGTGTCACACTTCACTCCACCGATGGCTTCTTGAATGCGATGCCAGCCACAGCACACCCCAGATCTCTGTGTCTCACATGCATTCCAGAAATCCCGACACGGATCTCTGCAAGCATCGGGAGCGTCACAATTCCTGACCCTCCATCCCAGCCTCAGGTGGATGAAGTCAGGACCTGACTCCAGGACCTGCGTTTTCAACCTGCCCTCCCATGCATTGAAGCCCATGGTTTGGCACCGGAGTGTCCTCCTGGGAGCCCCGAAGGAGGTCCAGAACTGGTGGGGACAATGCCACCTTTATTGTGCCACATCAGGGACACCATGGGAAATGTCATCTCCAGAGCCCAGCAGGTGCTGGACGGAAAGGTCCCACAGTGCTGGTTGCTCATCCCCGCCTGACACCCTGTCTCTCCGTGATGGTGATCATGGCAGAATATCTGACTGGTGTCTGTCCAGCTGGCGCCACAAGCCCCCCCTCCCCACACAACACCGTGACTGCACTTTTTACGCTTAGAGGGGGACATGTGGCCCAGGGAGGGTGGAAACCTGCCTCGGTTTCCATTATGGGAGGGCAAGCAGAAGAAGCCCCGTCTCTGAGATGCCACATCCATTCAGGGCCACTGCATTTGTTCCCATAAGATGAAGTGTGCAGAGCTGCTGCTTTGCTGGACGATGCACCACATGGCCTGGTGCAAGGCCTGGAAGCCAGGAAGCCACCAATCACGAAGCTGCCAGCTTTCAGGGACGAGAAGTTTCCAACAAGAGGCCCTGGAGTGCCCTTACCTGGACAGGTGTCTGCCGCCTGGACAGCCCAGGCCAAGCCCAGGAAAGTGAGCAGCAGGGTGGCAGGGCCCAGGACCCTCACAGCTCTGTCCAGCTCCATCTCTTCTGGTCTTTGCTTCAAGAGGTCCCTGCGCTCTTATAGGGCTGGAGGAGCCGGCCTCCCTCAGGCTCCAATTTCTCATCTTCCGAGTGACAGCCGCTTCCTCTCCGTGGGCTTGGTGACGCCAGCAGGAGGTGCGAGATCATCTCCAGGGCTGCTCCCTTCCCCCCCGCTCCTTGGGGATACCATGGGGACTCTCAACCCTGCAGGGGGATGGTCTCTTTCCAGGGAACAGGCTGACTCGCTTGTGGCCTTGCGCAAAGCCCAGGCCCATCCTCCCACCTTTGTTCGGCGGTGAGCAGATGACACCATGAGCTGAGAACGGGGAACAAGGAAGGTTTGCTAAAGATGTTCTGCTTCAAAGTGGTCTCTCTCCCTTATCTGAATACCTAGAGTCCTCGTGGCCAGAGCTGGTCATGGGCCACTGGTGTGGGCTTTACATAGTAACCCTCACCACGCCATGAGCAGACTTGGGACGTTCCTCAGGAGGCTTGGAAACTGCCACTGTGAGGTCCAGGCAGGCTGCCAGGGTAAAAAGGAGAGGAAAATGCCTGTGTGTGTTCACCGTTTCCTGGGGCAGTATGTAGAGCACAGTGGCACACACACAGGAGGGAAAGGACAGAAGGGTGGGGAGCCTGGGGGACTATGACCCAGGTGCACGTCTGAGGGGGAGACCTTGAGGGTGAATGCAGGGGCTTAGCCTGTAGGGAGGATGAGAGGAGGCGAATTTCACTCCTAGGGCCCAGGGAACCGCCTGAGCCCTGAGGCCAGGCATCCCACCTGTAGGATGGCTGTGGACGTCAGTGGTTGTATTCGCCTTTTGGAGAAGAGCTGGCCTGAAGGTGCACTCTCGCCTGGGACTGAGCCAGGTTAGAGACAGTAGCAGGTGGGGCCCCAGAGGCCGTATGCTTAAAGTCCCCAGAGACAGAACCGGCACTGCACCTCGCACTACCACCACCGCACCCTGCTACCTGCCGCCATCGGGATGCCGGGGTGCTTCCTTCCTTAGCAAGATCAGTAGAAGCCCAGCAAAGTCATGCAAGAAACAAAATCCCATTGGATATTCTTTCAATGCCCATGGAGATGTGTGGTCCTGAGATTATGACTAGTTAAGACACCCCCCCTCGGGTTCCATGGTGTTTAGGGCAGACCTCTCAAGACTTAAGGTTATGCCAGATACAGATGAGGTCTAGGGATTAACCTGGGGAAGACACAGGCTCATGGAGGTGCAGATATGGAACCGGGGAAGATGGCTTGGAAGCGTCTTCCTCAAAGTCCTGAAGTCACCTGCAGAGGAGCCAGGTCCCCGGAGCTGCCCAGTGAAACCCCAGCAGCCAAAATTTCAGGTCCTTAGGCAAGTTCCTTTACTGCATGCTATTTGTCCTTCTTAATAGAAGCATCTTTCAAGCCTGGATGACTTATAATTAAGTCTAGAAGGCTTTAAAAGCTCAAAGACATTATATTAATATTTTAGCGTTCAGAAATCTAAAAAATATGCTGTTTAAAGTACTCGTAACAATCAAGAGAATTTGGCCTATTGGAGTGGGTACAGGGTAACTTCAACAGAAAATGGTCACTTGAGTAATTGAATTGGCAGAGTGCATTTATGCAGAAACCTTACTGATTCATATAAACTATTGAATCAGTTTATTGGAACTCTGAGTTTATCACATGGTGAATTTAAACGATTACATTTCTAACAGGTCATATTCAGAAGGATTTTTAAAAGTTAGACAAGGTACTAAAGGATGAATGTGGGTGTATTAAATGTATAAATGCAGTAACAATATTTGAAGGTGTTTAGTTAGCTAAGTTAGGGAATGGACCAGGAATTATTCACAAGTTCCTTATACGTAGTTGTTAAAAAGATAGAATAATAAGATTTATAAGTCACACTTTAAAAATGAAGGTAGAATGCCGCTTTTAAAGTGCAATTTTTTTTTTTTTTTTTTTTTTGAGATGGAGTTTTGCTCTTGTTGCCCAGGCTGGAGTGCAATGGTGTGATCTCGGCTCACCACAACCTCCACCTCCCAGGTTCAAGCGATTCTCCTGCCTCAGCCTCCTGAGTAGCTGGGATTACAGGCATGCACCACCATGCCTGGCTACTTTTTGTATTTTTAACAGAGACGGGGTTTCTCCATGTTGGTCAGGCTGGTCTCGAACTCCCGACCTCAGGTGATCCACCCACCCTGGCCTCCCTAAGCATTGGGATTACAGGTGTGAGGCACCGTGCCCAGCCCTAGAGTATGTATGATTTTTAATAAACGGAAATAATTAAATTTGAATTCGTTTTAGAAAACAAAGGAAGACCTGAAAAGTCTTTGGTGAACTCAAAATTGCCCACAAATGATAACACACAAAAACCAAAGCCCTCACAGGCACCAGTATAAATGGTGGGTGGGGGGAGGTGCTTCCAGGGGTCATGTCACTCGTTACGGGCGAGGAGGCTGAGGCCCGGAGAAAGGTGGAAGGTCCCACAAGGGACATGGCCAGTCCATGGCTGAGCCGGCATCCAGCCCCAGCTCCTCAGGTCCCACCCCAGGGCCTTTTCTACCTCCCTGTATTAATCAGGATTATTTTAGAGGGATGGAACTAATAGGATAGGTATATATAAAGAGGAGTCTATTAAGTATTAAATTACAGGATCACAATAGGCTGTCTGCAAGCTGAGGAGCAAGGAAAGCCAATCTGAGTCTCAAAGCTGAAGAACGCGGAGTCTGATGTTCGAGGGCAGGAAACATCCAGCACGGAAGAAAGATGTAGGCTGAGAGGCCAGGCCCATCTCACTTTTTCATATTTTTCTGCCTGCTTTTTATTACTGGCAGCCGATGAGATGGTGCCCACCAGACTCAGGGTGGGTCTGCCTTCCCCAGCCCACGGACTCAAATGTTCATCTCCTTTGGCAACATCCTCTCAGAAACACCCAGGATCAGTACTTTGCATCTTTCAATCCAATCAAGTTGACACTCAGTAGTAACCATCACATCCCCCTTCCAGAAGTTTCCCTCCCACACAAGCTACCTCTGTGCCGGAGCCCAGGTCTCCACCCTCAGGTTGCCAGCTGTTGTAGGGCAGGTGATGCTGTGCACAGGAGACAGACCAGGCAGGCATGGATCCCGTCTGTGAGGTCTCTAATGTGACTACCTTCTCACAAAGGCCAGGAGGAGAGAAATGGAGAGTGCGGCCATGAGACTCTTGTAGCAGACAGCAGTAGCTTCATGTTTCCAGAAGGTAAACTGTGATAATGGAAAGAGATTTACTACAAATTCTAACGCGGCCACTGAAATCACAACTTTCTACAGATTCCAGCCATGCAAAGTGTGTTCTCCGACAACAATGGAATTAATTAGAAATCAAGAAAAGAAGTGTGTCTAGAAAATCCTCCCAAACATTTGGATACTAAATAACATTCTTCTAAATAAGATATAGGAAACAGAAGAGGCCAAAGGAGAAATTAGAAAGAATTTTGAATTGAATAAAAACAAAAAGGCAGTAAAATACAGTTTGCATGGTGTTCCTAAAGCACTCCTTGGGAGGCAAATTACAGTGTAAAATGCCCACTAAAAAGGAAGAAAGGCCTCAGGTCAACAGTCTCTGCTTCCATCTCAAGACTAGAAAAACAAGAGTAAATTAAATCTGAAGTAGAAAGAAGAGAATGAATAATAATGAAAAAGAGCAGAAAATCAATACAACCTGAAGCCAATTCTTTGAGAAGGTAAATAAAATTTATAAACCTCTAGTCAGACTGAAGAAAAGAGAAAAAAGAGAGAGAATGCAAAATATCACTATTAGGAGGAGATCAACGACCTCACTACATCTTCTACAATTATTAGGAATATAAGGGGACATTAAAACACTTTAGCACCAATATATTCAACAGCAGAAATGAAATGGACAATTTCTTTGAACCACCAAAGTCACTCAAGAAATACATAAGTCGAACAACTGGGGTGGTGGCTCACGCCTGTAATTCCAGCACTTTGGGAAGTCGAGGTATGTAGATCACCTGAAGTCAGGAGTTTGAGACCAGCCTGGCCAACATGACGAAACCCTGTCTCTACTAAAAATACAAAAATTAGCTTGTGTGGTGGTGGGCACCTATAATCTCAGCTACTCAGGAGGCTGAGGCAGGAGAATCGCTTGAACCTAGGCAGCGAAAGTTGTGGTGAGCCAAGATCACGCCATTGCACTCCAGCCCAAGTGACAAGAGCGAAACTCCATCTCACAACAAAACAAAACTATACATATAAAATAAATTGAAATTGTAGTTAAGCCTTTATTTTTATTATAAAGAAGTTTATCAGGATAATGTGGTACTGATGTGAAGGTAGACATACAGACCAATGGAACAGACAAGAGAGTCCATGAAGAAATAGAGAGTCTGCAGAATAGAGAGCCCAGCAAAAAAAATCTCCAGGCCCAGACAGCATCACTGATGAAATCTACCAAATATTTAAGGAAGAGATAATAACAATCCTTCCCACATTCTTTCTGAAAATCAGAAAGCTGCAACTACTTCATCACTCATTCTATGAGGCCAGCATTTCTCCAATAGCAAAAGTAGATAAAAATCATTGCAAGAAAAAAGTAACTATAGACTGATAGCCCTCATGAACATAGACACCACAATTGTAAGCAAAATTTTAGCAATCTGAACCCGTCTATGAAAATAATGTATCACAAGCAAGTGAGGTTTCGCCCAGGAATAGGATGTTTGTTTACCACTTGAAAATCAATGTAATTCTCTATCTTACCAAATTAAAAATGATATATGATAATCTCAAAAGAAACAGAAAAAGATTTGAACATTTTCATCCATTCTAGATGAATAAAGGATCTCCAAAAATAAAGAATAGAAAGTATTCGTTTTCTATCATTGTGTAAAGAATTACCACATCTTAGCAGCTTAAAAGAACACCTGTTTATTATCTCATAGTTTTTGTGGGTCAGGAGTCCATGCACAGTTTAGTGGGGTCCTCTGCTAAGATCTCAAAAGCAACAATCGAGG